ACAGATAAGCACAGAGATCAGCAGAAAGCAGCAGAGGCCCAAACTTGTCTTCAAAACACAAATCTTTTTACACACTTTACTTCCGACACAGCTGAAGGAGCAGAATATATTGTTTCGAATGCTTGAAGACTATTCTTTGGGAAAAAAATGATCAGGTTCCAGTCACACTTGTGTGCTTCCAAAGCTGTGCGACTTTGGAGTGCAACTTGGATGCTACTTTGGCTTTGACCAAAGATAATAGACAACTGTTGCACAACTGTCGCATGTACAAGATTCAGCTGTGACTTTAATGTCAGGGTTAACATTGAAATCTATGGACCTCAAGATGCACAAAAGTCAGACCAAAGCAGTGCTTAACTACTTTGCAGTCGCTGCAACTTTAAGTCACATAGATATGAATGGCACTCATTGGAAAACATGAGATGCTACTTGTCATGCAAGTTTAGTGTCCAAAGTCGCATGACAAGTTGCACAAGGTTGAATGGAGCCTTATACTTCCATTACCTGTACAAGGCAGAAAATATTCCACTTTCCCTGTGCTTGTGATGCCAAATACTGCTGTTTCTGGAACAATGGGTTTTAATGAGTAATGACAATAGCGTAAAAACTCAGCAAATAGGTCCCGCGCAGGGGACAGGAACAGAAAAGAAAACATATGGCAGGAAACCAATTACAATTTCAAAGAGATCCAAAACATAGCAAAGCAATAGCATCCGGCAGTCAGAGCCGGGGTGAAGGGGGTGGGTCTTCCCCCCTCCCTTGGTAAGCAGGAGGGAAAATAAAGAAACAAAAAAATGTTTTTAAAAATTTAAAAAAGGGGTGAGAGCGGGAAGGGAAGGTGGGGAAAGGAGAAAAAGATGGAAAGGAAGAGGACAGAAAAACAAGAGGGGAAGAGGGAGTGAGAGGAAGAAAGTTAGAGAGGAGCGAAAGAAGGAGCTTACGAGTCAGAGGACATCCCACAGCGATCTGGGATACCCGGAATGGTGGGAGGCAGAGTAGGGACAGCGTAAGTTCACCATGGGCTCCAAACTTGAGGAATTTGGAGTGGGAATCGTGGAGTATACCTGTCATTTTCTCATGAATCATGAGGGTGGTCAAAATGCTCCTCATCTCCACAAAGTCCTAGCAATGGCGTGCTTTGCAGCTATGAGAAGGTACCTGGCCAGTTTCTGTTGGTAGAAGAGGCCTGGGGTGTGGGCAATGGAGAAGTATTAGTAGAGGACAAAGAGAGCGAGAGATGGAGACCCACAATAAGGTCTCCCCCCTTGCTAGTAGGATTTATTGGTGCCACACTCCTTAATAATAAGGCACTGAAAAATACACATCCCTAGCTGAAAAAACTGATGGGGTTTTGAAGACACCATAACACAAAATTAAATAATCAATAAGTAGCATGTAACATCGAGAGTTGTGAGATTTGCGCTGCCAGATAATATCTGGATATATCTGGGACTCCCAAGTCCTCCTCTGAGTCTATGGGGTAAAAAGGGTAGCCTGGGACGCTTGTGGGCCCAAATAAAGAAACATAAGAGCTTTGGAAGCAATCATCTTGATAGAGTTAATGCACCCTATCCATGACAGGGAGGGGAAGTTCCAGGAGGCCATGAGGGAGGTAATTGATTGGAGAAAGGGAGAGTAGTTGGCAGAAAAGTGAGAAGAGTAGGAGGGGGTAAGGGGTGATGCCTAGATAGTCTAGGGAAGAGGATGCCCGGTGATATGGGAAAGACGACTGAAGATGACAGACCACAGCATCCAGGAGAGAGATGTTCTGGGCTATTGTTTTTTGGGGATTGATCTGGAGACCAGAGATGGTTGCTAAGTGGGCTAGTAGAGTATGCAGGTTGGGGAGCGTGGTGATAGGATTTGAGAGGGTCAGAATTTGCAAACAGATTTACTTTGTAATACACACTGGCATAAGAAATCCCCGTAATATTGGGGTTGGCAAGGAGAGCCAAGCCAGAGCTTTCAGGGCAAGAACAAAAAAGGGCTAGGGAGAGAGGACAACTTGTCGGGTTCCCTGGAAAATGGGGAAAGGGGTTAAAGAGAAGCCCGCAGAGCGAACAGAGTCTTCAGGGGAGGAATACAGAGCTGACAGCCAGGTTAAGGATTCCCCAAAGCCACAGCGATGTAGCACATATCTAGGATAGTCCCAAGAGAGGGTGCCAAATGCCTTAAAGATGTTAAGTGATAAAAAGGAATCCTAGGATTTGGCATGGGTTCATTAGGAATATGAGGTGTATCACTTTGCGCACATTGTCGGCTACCTGCCGGCCAGGGACAAATCCAACCTGGTCCCTGTGGATCAACTGACGAAAGTACTTGTTGATACGGGTACACAAAATTTTGCCCAGGAGTTTCATGTCTTTATTTAGTAGGGAGATCAGAAGGAATGCCTGGGGTTCATTGGCTTCAGAGTCAGATTTCGGGATCTTTGAAATGTGTGCTCGTAAGGCGTCGGGGGACGGCCTCTTGCCCCTTTACATGAGGTTGAAGTAAGCTGCTAGGCGGGGACCCAGCAGTTGAGAGAACTTGAGATATAATAAGCCTGAGAAGCCGTCAGGGACTGGAGCTTTCGATGGGAATATTATTTTGATGGCCAAAGACACTTGCAGTTCAGTAATGTTTGCATTCAGTGCATCCCTGGCTACCGTAGACCAGGTGGGAAGATGGAGGTCATGAAAAAAGGTGTCGGCCAGACCAAACTTGAATTTTGTTGATATGATTTAAAAAAACATACATAATATGGATGGACAGTACCAACACAAAAGTAGATCAGAAAGCTACACTGCCACTTACCTTTGGGTCCTGGTGGAGGCACAAGTCCTAATCTTCTGCGCCTGCCTTCTCGTTTGACACTGCAATTTCTTTTGTTCTTTTTGGGTAAGGTAAATCCCAAGTAACTGGAGCATCTGTCAACTTAGATAATGACACAGAGTATATTAAGATACAGATAATCATGCTACAACAACTTCACAGCTGGGGAAAGTTGGGCACTGACTGTACCTGCAGGGCTTAGTTGTGCTGGGTGTTCCACAAGATTTGTAATTCCATGAAATTCTTCCCGCTCTGTTCAAGACTCTGCTCTCCTACAGTAAAAGAAAAAAAACATCACAAATATTTCATTTTTTATTTGTTCCCCACCACAAGGTTTTTACTGAAAAATAGGAACTGTGGAATCCTCCAATGATAAATCAGTTGTCTCTTAAAGTGATCCTACTGCTTAAAGAAAACCTGTCCTGGAAAAAGTAGAGCAGCAATGGACCTCATATTATTCAGTATAAGTAATCTTACAGAAAGCTGTCAGGCTGCAGGCATTCAACAGAAGACAACCAAAGTCTATGGGCAATGTTAAAATAAATGTTCAGACTGAGAATGCAGTTGTTAATTGCAGAAGAAGACAACCATAGACTGGAAACACATTACATGAAACTGCTAGACATCCAGTTCATGTATCCACATTTGTGCTCCCTTAAAATTACAGATATTTCTTTCAGCAAAATTCATTCAAAAATTCATTAAGCACCAAAGCCTGAGGGCAATACAGTAGGTGCTAAAAAGTCATAAGTCCAGCATTATGAATTTAGAGGTGGTTATCGTAGACCTCCCCTCCAACCGTCTCAACCATTCACAGATAATGGAATGGCTAAAAGCCCCATCTGCCACCGCAGCAGAGGGATTTCCGGATCTCAATGGAACACAAGTGCAGTGACGTCACCAAATTTGTAGTTTATCATGTACATCTGTCAGCTCCATAACATAACATAACATAACAAAAGTAAAAACAATGTCCTACCCATGCATTTAATGTGATACAAGAATAAAGTGTCTGTCAGGAACCTCATGGAGAGATCGTGCTTGTTTTCTTGTGCATGTGCATAAATGTGCGCTTTTTCGGGCATGGAAACACAAAACGACGTGCACATGGATGCACGGGTACATCTGCCACAGATGCTGGTCCCTAATTGACTATTTAAACCTGAGGCCTGCGTAGGATTATTCCCGGATGGTTTTTCAGCTTGTATCTCTGTTAGACATAAAGTACAGTGACCTCAGATTGAAAAATGCCTTTTCCAATCAGGAATCATTACATATAAAAAAAGAACATGTACAGAGATGGTACAAAGGACCTGCTATTGTTATCATTTTGACCATAGGTACAGAGGTATCCCATCTCACAGCAAAAAGAGATCCCATAAGGTGAATTTTTATTTTACCAATGTATATATAATTAGGCCATGCTGCTTTACACTGTAGACTTCCACCCATACTTGATGTGAAATGCATAAAACAGCATGTGACGTCACCTTGTATAGTATAGAAATCTTTAGTACAAAGTAGCTGAGCACCCAGGTAATGACAGGCATGGTCTATGGTTGGGGCAAGAAATATCCACACTTCACCAATTAACTTGAGTCAAATAACCCTGGGCCCATTCATTTCACAAGCAATTTAGCACAATATCACCTGATACCACTGTCCTATTGTCCACTTAGCTTCAACAGTGCGTTCAAACAGGCATTACCGATTCATTACATGGGAGCAATAGAGACTGATTAGTCTGCTAATACTCAGATACACACAGTGCTCATTTTATTAGGTTCATCTGCTCGTTAAAGTGGAACTCCAGCAGCAGGTCAGCAAGCTGAGCTTTTAGTAATATCCAATTTTAGGGTTCCTGGAAGCTCTCTCTACAGGTTGACCAGTTGGATTGTTAAATACTTGATTGAACTGATGGACTCTGAACTAGTTTTTGAGGAGTTTGAAACTCGATCACAGATAAAGTCTAATATCTAGAGCTTTAATATCTAAAGATTTCCACTTGCCATGAGAGCCCAAAACATCACGTACATTAGATCCCCCTCATATTAACCACCTCCCGCCCGCCATATAGTAATATGACGGGCACAATGTATTCTCTCCTTCTGGGAGGATGTCATATGACGTCCTCGAATGCTCACTACGCACGCGCGACTCAGGGAGCGCGCAGCGCGGCAATCGGCGGTGTGCTGTGTCCCTTGGACACAGCGGATCATCGATCATGGAAAGAGCCAAAGATGATGTCGGCTCAGTCATGTGATCAGCTGTGTCCAATCACAGCTGATCACATGTAAACAGGGAAATGCCGGTTATAGGTAATCGGCTTTCGCGGAGGGGACATGTACACTGATCATCAGGGCACTGATGATCAGTGTGCCCTGATGATCAATGTAGCCCCGGCAGTGCCACCTGTCAGTGTCCATCAGTGCCTTATGTCAGTGCTCATCAGTGCCTCGTGCCAGTGCCACATCAGTGCCACATATCAGTACACACCAGTGCACATCAATGCCACATATCAGTGCCCATCTGAGCTGCCTTTCAGTGCCACCTATCAGTGCCAGTCAGTGCCACCTATCAATGCCAGTCAGTGTCACCTATCAGTGCTGCCAATCAGTGCCAGTCAGTGCCGCCAATCAGTGCCAGTCAGTGCTGCCTATCAGTGCGCATCAGTGCTGCCTATCAGTGCCTGTCAGTGCCGCCTAACAGTGCCAGTCAGTGCCGCCTATCAGTGTCAGTCAGTGCCGCCTATCAGTGCCATATATCAGTGCTATGTACCAGTGCTGCCTTTCAGTGCCCATCAGTGATGCCTGTTAATGCCAATCAGTGCCACCTACCAGTGCCTCCTCATCAGTGCCACCTATCAGTGTCCATCAGTGCAGCTTATCAGTGCCCATCAGTGCAGCCTCATTAGCGCACATCAGTGAAGGAGAAAAATCACTTATTTACAAAATTTTATAACAAAAACTAAGAAAAAACTTTTTTTTCTCCAAAATTTTCAGTGGTTTTTGGTTTAAGAAAAAAATAAAAAAACCCCGAGGTGATTAAATACCACCAAAATAGAGCCAGGGGGGCGGGGCCTGTGCATAGCGGTGTGGGAGAGCACGATGTAGGTGTTCTCCGATACCTCCAACTCTAACCTCCCCAATCCTCTATGCTCTAGACCCGCTGTCGAGTAATTAATTTCCCGGGACCTACCTGTGAGAGAGGTGGCTGGGGCTCTGGTGGTGAGGTGTGGCGGCCCTGCAGGATGAAAGCGGATCCGGCTGTCATTCTCCCCGAGGCTTGCATCGGTGATCCCAGAAGGAGTGTCGGGTTGCCAGGGAAACGGAACAACGAGGTGGAACCACGTGGGTAGCCGCAAGGGAGCGCTGGGAGGAGGAGAAGCCGGCCGGTGTCCAGAGGAGAGAGACGCGGTCTGTTCCCCAGCTTACTCCCTAGTCCGTTCCTTGGATTTTCCGTAGGGATGATGAGCTCGACGTCCTGCCTGAGCCCTAGATGAACGAACTGAGATACCCTGAGGAACCCCCCTAAGGTAGGGAAAAATTATCTGGAGAGACTGATGACAGCAGTCTGGAGTGCCCCGCAGGAAAAATAAGAGAGAGGAGGGTGAGTGAAAGTGGCTCTGAATAATTGTATAATGCTTGGTAGTGCATAAAGAGACAATGTGTGAAGTAGAGAAGAGGGGTTCCTAGGGGGCTCCTAGGGGGTTTGAAGGTATGGAAGAGTAAAGAAGATTAAATTAAATGACCCTAGAAATGGAAATGAAAGTTCAAGTGGACAATAAATAGTGGGTCAAATCCGGGTCCCTAGTGTCTATTTGAGTTTTTTCCCTGGTGTCTATAGAAGAGGTCAGAAGATATGAAGAATAAAAGTGTTAACCCTTTGAGGACCGTAAGGTTTTGGAACGCCAAAAGAATCAATTTTTTTGTTTGTAAAGTTCGTACACTTCAGTTGCTGTAACTAAGTCATTTCATGAAATAATTGGCAAAAAGCTAGATCCATTTGTTGTTTGTTGATAAGAACTAATATTTTGACTCAAACCAAACAAAAAAAAGAGTTTTAAGTTCTTAATCAGATGATACACGCAATTACAAATATGGGACAAATACGTCCCTTGGTCCTCAAAGGGTTAAAGGAAGCAGGTCCAAGGGAGCCCAATCCGGTTCGATTAAAAAGTATACGTCTCAGGGGAATGCGACCCCAGAAAGACCCCTGGGAATAAATGAAAAGAGCGAATTGGAAATTAGCTTGGAAAAAAGTCCTAGACTATCCCTAGGAATGGACAATAGCAGTCAACACGTCAGAAAATATGGAGGGAGAGAACTTGATAGGGAGTTGCAAGTGCCAAACAAGAAAGAGATGGCAGAAATGTTTAAAAGCTTGGAAAAGTCAATAAAGCAAGAAATAGCAATGATACGGAATGATCTTGGGCAATTATTATGCAGAGTGGAAGAAATGGAGGAAAAACTTAAAAATCATGCCCAAGATATCTCAGAACTTAAGAAACGGACACTGGAAATCAGGAAAGATAAAAAAAAATTGCTCTACAAAATAGAGGTTCAAGAAAACAGGGATAGAAGGAATAATCTCAGGATACGAGGAGTCCCAGAGAGATCACAGGGGGAGGACTTGAAAGGGTTAATGAGGAAAATCTTAAACTCCATAATGGACAGACCTATTTCAGAAATATTTAAATTGGATGGTGCATTTAGAATAGGAAAAGTCCAACAAAGAAATGGTAGAGAAAGATCGAGAGACATAATTATCCAATTTCATAGGCTGAGTGATAAAGAAGAGATTTGGAAGAAAATTAAGGGAAGAACAAGTATCAAGTATGAAGAAATAAACATTCAAATTTGTGTGGATTTAGCACCAGAGACATTATGGAGAAAGAGATCTTTAAAACCCCTGGTAGACCAGATGAGAAAACAGAATGTGCATTATAGATGGGAAGCCCAGGAGAGCTTAATTGGATGGAAAAATGGACTCACGGTTATTCTGAGATTTCCTGAGGACTTAAGAGACTTTTGTTATAGACTTGACTTACAGAGAATAAAGTTACCAGGGTGGGATGAGGAAGAAGGAGATATAGGGGCTATGGGGAAAGAGGATTGGCAGCTAGTGGGAGAGGGAAAGTAGGGAGAGGAGAGGTGGAGAAGAGTGAGGTTTTTTTTTTTTTCTTCTCTCTCCTCTTTCCTCTCTCTCTCTCTACTATGGCTTCTCTGTTCAAATGCTGTTCTTATTTTTAAGTGTCTGTGAGAAGTCATTGAATTAGATAGATAAAGGGAAAGGGTGGATTGGGTAAAGGGGAGCCGTATATGGACGGAGTTCAACCCCAAGGTTTTAAATCAAAGGTGGGTTTTGGCCCACAAATGATTAGTAGGCAAACTTTAAGCCTAAAAAGGGGGAGGGTAGGGGTTGTGAGGAGGATGGGGGGGTGGGTGTGAGTGGGTGGGGGGGTGAGGAGAGGGAGGGGGGTATTAGGGCTAACACTCTGCGAGCTGGGAGGAGTTATGAGAGAAGCGGGAGAGGGGAGAGGGAGTTGGAGAAGAAGAGAAATATGGAAGAAGTACAGTTTGTAACTTGCAATGTAAATGGGTTGTATTGTCCTGGGAAGAGATTTAGGTTGTTTAGAGAGTTGCAACACAGAACATCTTCAGTGGTTTTTTTTACAGGAGACACATCTAGAGATTGAGTCAAATGTTAGGCTAAATACTAGACACTACCCGGTATGGTATTATGCAGATTCACCAATTAAAAGAGCAAAGGGGGTAGCTATAGGGTTCACAAAGAATATAAGGTTTGAGTTGCAGAATAGAATGACGGATCGTGAGGGAAGATTTTTGTTTCTGAAGGGTAAATTGCAAGAAATTGAGTGTACAATAGCTAATATATATTTTCCAAATAAGAAGCCGGAGATATTTTTGAAGGGAGTATTGAAAAGGTTGATGGATTTTAAGAAAGGCCGTCTGATAGTAGCTGGAGATTTTAATGTCTGTATGGACCCGCGAATGGATACAACCTCTTCTGTGCAGAGGGAGGAGAGTAGGTCTCTGAGATCATTGAAGAAGTTGATACATGAGTGCCAATTGGTGGATATATGGCGAATCAGGCACATGAAAGACAGAGACTATACCTTCTTCTCACATGCACATGAGACATACTCTAGATTGAACTATATACTGATGGAACATCGATTCATAGAGTTTGTGGTGGAAGCAAAAATTTAAGTAATGTCTTTATCAGATCATGCCCCTGTCACAATGAAAACAAGATGGGGAAGAGAGGTGAAGAGAGGTTTAATTTGGAAGATGAATGAGGTACTTCTTCTGGATCATGAGATTGATCAGAAGATCGAGGTGGAACTCAAACGATTTTTTGAGAAAAATGACACAGGAGACGTGTCGGTGGCTACAGTGTGGGAGGCCCACAAGGCTTACATTAGAGGATTACTTATTGCAATGGGGGCAAAAAAGAAAAAAGAAAGAGGGAAAACAATTAATGGACTTCTAGGGGAAATATTTGATCTTGAACAGGTGCATAGAAGTAGAATATCTAAAGAGATAAGGCAGAAGATAAAAAAAAAGAAAGAAGAGCTAGAGACCTTGATGGAAGAGGAAAAAAGGACAGTCTTTAATAAAGTAATAAGCGAAAGGTACAGATGGGGTGATAGGCCGGGAAAGTACTTAATGAGAGCCTTAAGGAAAAAGAAAAATAGGAATTACATAGAAAAAATAGGAAACCCCAAGGGTGAATAGGTTCACTCAACTAAAGAAATCGCTAGAGTATTTGAGGAATATTATAGCAAGCTGTATAATATCATCCCCCAAGATACTATAAACAATGCTGAAATAGTAAATAGTGAAAAAAGGACATATTTAAAAAACGCAGGTTTGCCAAAACTGAGTGAAGTACAATTGGACTCCCTAGAATCAGAAATCACACAAGAAGAAATAAAAACAGCATTAAAAAGTACTATGGTGAGGAAAAGCTCAGGGCCAGATGGGTATACTGTGAGATACTATAAAAAATATAAAGAAGTGTTAATACCCAAACTGAAGATATATATGAACACCCTAGGGGGTGAGATGGAAATGAGGCGAGCATCCCTACAGGTTAACGTAGTTTTAATTCATAAGGAAGATAAGGATGCCGTCCAGTGTTCAAGCTACAGACCAATTTCATTGTTGAATGTAGATACTAAATTGTACGCAAAGGTATTGGCTAACAGGTTGAAGGATTTAATGCCTGACTGGATACATGGGGATCAGGTGGGGTTCATCCCAGGGAGAGAAGGTAGAGATAACGGGTTGAGATCATTGTTGCTCATTCAGAAAAGTAGAAAAGGGAAAACCCCAGTGGTGTTGTTGTCAATTGATGCCGAAAAAGCATTTGACAGAGTGAACTGGGGATTTATGATGAACACCATGGAAGCGCTAGGGCCGGGAGTTAAAATGAGAGAGTGGATTGGAAAGTTATATAGCTGGCCTTCAGCAGCTATTATGGTTAATGCAGAAAGGTTGGAGTTTTTTGGGATGTCAAATGGAACAAGACAGGGATGGCCACTGTCCCCATTGTTGTATGTTCTATCTCTGGAGCCTTTGCTGTCTACAATAAGGAATAACATAGATATAAAGGGAATATGGATAGGAGATAAAGAACATAAAGTAGCGGCCTATGCGGATGATTTGAT